GCTCGTCGATTGAGGGCGTTGAGATCCACCTGATAGTGACAAAGACGATTGGGTGGCTGCGCGACTCGTTGGAGGTGCAGTGGTCGGAGTCGCTGGTGGACGAGTGACAGTGTTGGTGGTTGGTGGAGTCGTATTCGGTGCGGCAGATGTAGAATCGACCATGACGACGGTAGAGGACGTATCGTCCTCGATGGTACTGGTATCAGCTCCGTCCGTTGAAGTGACAGGATCGTCGGAAATGATTGGATCAGTAGGTTGATCAACCGGATCGGTCGGGTCAGTAGGATCATCCGTGGGATCGGTAGGATCGGTCGGGTCGGTCGGATCAACTGGCACATAGCTGCACAGTTGTGCAGCCTCTGCAGAGCGCGTGCACGTTTGTGAGCTTGATGTTCGCGGATTCTTGGTGCGTCAACTTACGCATGGATGCCTCTTCGCCTGCATCGCCATAGCATAGACCGCAATTCTTTGGGGTCAAATTTTGTCAGCTCTATGAGCTACACCTTGAAGAGAGGACGGCGCGTACCATCATGTTGGCCACTACATCCGCTCCGCAAGCGCAAGTGCCTAGGGATTGTGCATCTGTCGTGCTGGTGATGCAGTCCTGGAGAACCCAATTCAGAGACGTGTCCAAAGTCCTGTCGCCCAGTAAGAAAAAGGTCTTACTTGGATTGTGCCCACCCACGGGGCGCACTCGGACTGGCACTCGCCAGTCGCTTGACCTTGAATTGCGGACGCCAACAGATTTTGCAGACCGGTGATTGCACCAGAGACGTCGCCTTGACGCTTCCCGAGGCTCAGCGCGCGTCTTTCGAATGCCCGAGTGAGCAAAGTGCCACCGTGATTAGGCGCGGGAAGGGCATTGATCACTGCTGCCAGGACCATGATCCGTGATTAGTGCTGCAAAAAATTTTGAGCGTTACTTGGAGGCTGCTTGTGCTCACAAGCTGACGCGGCGGCCAGTATGATGACTGCTGACGGGACAAGCATTGTAAAATCGTATGCAAGCGCGAGATGAGGTAAGGGAAAGAGGCGCGCGGAAGTGTGTTGGATGGAGAAAGAGACAGGTAAACAGGATACTGTTCTCTTTTATGTCTGTGGTGCACGGGAAGCGACATCTGGCCCGAGAGCCACCCTCGAGGCTCTGAAACACCGCCACGCTGGGGTTACGAAACGAGCTCGGCGTTCAAACACAGCCGCTTGATTCGAAGCTTTGGAGTACTCAAAGTACATGAGGCGGTGCTATGGTACCGTATGCTTGCATGTCTTTGCTTCCCGGGGTCTGCTTCACCGAAAGTCACCATCCCGCTAGGATACGAACGGGCGACCGTATCTCCGATGAGCATCCGATGGATCTTGCAATGCCACAATGTCGGCTTCGGAAAGCTGACTTGCTCTCACTGTCATTCACCAATCGGTGCCAAACAGTGGAAGAAGTATGAGCGAGCACGGCTCACTTGGATTTCAAGGAAATACGGCCAGCATGAATACGAAAATTCATCTCGTCTTTTGATTAAAGACCGCCGTTAAAGACGATCTAGAGATTCTTTGGGATAATGAAAGGAGAAAAGAGTACGCTTGGTGAGGGACAAGGTCCGGTCGCGGATAATGTGAAATGTGAGAACCAAACATTGGATTGTCTTGGTTAGGGTCAAGTTTAGAGAACCAGGGCGCCGACGAAACCAGCGACAGCGAGAACAGCGCCAACGGCGGCACCGTTGTGGTTGGCACCGCTGGTAGGCTGGGCACTAGGAGAGTTGCTAGGGGCAGCCTGGGTGTTTGAGCCGGTGTTGGCAGCCGAAGAGGGAGCCGAGCCTGAAGCAGTGCGGGACGACGACGATTGAGCAGGATTTGATGACGACGCAGCAGACGATCCAGCAGACGACCCAGCAGACGAGGCGGCAGATGAGGCGGCAGACGAAGCGGAAGACAGACCGCCCGTCTGAGCGCTCGAGGGAAGGGCGCTGATTGCCTGCGAACAGATGCTGGCGACGCCTGCGATACGAGAATTGCTCAGCTCGGCATGTCGAGCTGGGTCGACAGAAATGGCTCACCATCAGCGGCCGAGGACTGCGAAGAGCCGAGGCAAGATCCGCAAGACTGCATTCGAGGCAATCTGTCAGTGAATGTACATGATCGGCTTAGCGCTCAGGCCGCGCATACCTGCATCGCCGAGACAGTGCTCTGTTGGCACGCGCACAATCCGATGTCTTCGTTGTTTGTGTTGCTCGTGACACAGTTCTGTCGGAATGCGATTTTGTCTGTCAGCGAGTGACGGGGCGCACGTGCCGCTGCTGCGCGCCGCCGCGCGACGCGAGCCGAGCGCGTTCAGGCGCAAGCTTGTGACTGACTTGGATTGGCGTGACCCAGCTGCCGCACTCTTGTGAGCATTGTCCGCTGCCTTGGGCTGCCGTCAGGGCGTCCCTCAGGAGGCCCTGCAAGTTTGCGAGAGTCGACGAAAGGTCTTGGCGGCGCGCGAGTTTCTGATAGAAAGCACTCGACAATGACGTGCCGATCAGCGCGTGGCCACTCGTCTGAGCAGCAACGACGGCTAAAGTGCATGTGAGAGACGGTCAGCGCACGTGTTTTTGCATCTAACCCACGCGCGTATACGACTCGCGCATGGGCCGCGGACTTGGCCCATCACATGTCATGCGCAATACATACCGGCGGACGCAAGAGCAGCAACAGAAACAGACAGTCTGACCATGTTGTGCGATTGAGTGTGAGGAAAGAGTAAGAAAACGATAAGCGGCGAGCAAAAGTGGGGCAGCGCTCGGCAGCTGCGCCGGAACAGAGCGCAGCCAAAATTAGAAAATTTTCGGTTTCAACCAAGGGTTTCAAAGAGGACAGGTTTCGAACACGACGTCATTGAAACTTCAATTAAATGTTGTTGGCGACACTCTCGTCCGCAGTCCAGTCCTCTGGACACTCTCCGGACATCCGCCCCCCTTGAAAAGCGTCTTAGTGGGCATTGGTCAAGACAAAAGCTACAGCAGACAAGAGAAACCGGGTATACTTTCCGTTGGAACTGAATAAGGCTACAAGATCATCGTGCGTCCCTGCACTAGGTTAACGCGGCGACGAATGGGCACTCCGTCCGGCGCTCGACATGAGCGAGCTGCGACGCGAGGTTTCTGCGCTTACATAACTTGATGCGCGATTCTCATCATTGAATGGAGACATGGCTTCGTTCGCCGGGTCGACAGATTCGTTCCATAAGTTTTCGCGCGGGATCGCAGGCAATACGGGAGGATCCCTGCTCGTCTGAGTCACGTGCGACCACAAAGACGGACGACGTTCAGACGTTTCCGTCGGGCTGCCACCGCCGAGAATTGGACTGTTCTGTTGCTGCCTCTGGGTTCGTCGGCGCCTCCTGACAAACATGATGGCAGCGAGGACGAGAGCGAGCAAGACGATGCCACCAATGACACTGCCAGCCGTGATCGCGCCGATGTTGTTCATGCCCTGACCCGAAGCAGGCGTCGAAGACGCACTAGGCACGGCAGCAACGGCCACATTGTTGGTAGCAGCGGCTGTTCAATTTTCCGAAGCATCAGAACGGGTTCATCCGACTGGGCGAACTAAAACTTGCCACTGAGCGGTGTGGTTTCGCTGATGGGCACGACAGCTTCCATTTGCAGAGACGCAGTCGTTGAAGAAGCTGGAGCAGAGGTCGCGGACGACCTGCTAGCGATTGGAACGTACGTGATGCTCGCGCGCGAGGCCGACGAGGCCTGAAGGGAGGCCAATGATCCGATCGATGACACTGAGGCTGTCAGGTAGCCCTTTCAGTGCACGGCTCCTTGACATGAATATTTGTCTTACAGCTAGCGACTCGCGAGTTAGATGCGATCGTAGGAACGATGTGATTCGCGCAGTATCTCGAAACGTCTGTGGCAGGTCGCTCATCAGTACGGGCGTGATTCGATCAGAAAATCTTGACATACCCAGAGCACTCTGGTAGTTCAAAGGGCCAAAGCACTGACCGCATGTCTAACGAAATTATTGTCAGCTTAGCAGATCGAGTCTGCAATCTTCGACCAGAACGCACCTCCATACTCTGGACTACACTGCTGGAACAGGCGCACGCTTCCACCGCTCCTACATCTGTATTGGTGTACACGCATTGCTATTCAACACCAGCCAAGAATTTCCCAGTTAGTGACGTGTCCCTCAGCGCGAGGCAACTTGAGCACTCGGGCCGGCACAAATTGCCCAGATGGGAAACTCGTGAGCGGGCCCTCTGTTTACTTGATTCGTGCAAGCTCGGCCCTCATTCAATACGAAATGTGGGACAATGGGAAAGGGTACTCACCCTGACTGCGAGAACCCAGGGTGAACAAGCTTGAGTGCAAATATTGGTCGCCTGACCGGCAATGGCCATCTGCAGCAGATCTTGGAGATCACTTGCGGCTTGAGCGAGGTCTTGTGGTACATTTTGACGTTTGGTGAATACACGTAACAAAGCAGCACTGTCCATGTCATTTGCTTCCGGCGCGAGCGCCATTGCCAGAGCCGCTTTAAAGCGAGACATTTCAAGCGGGACGAAGACGGGTCGAACGATCAAGGGTTTTGAGCATGTCAATGCCGTGCAAGAACGCACCGAGATGGCTGTTGACATGTACTTACGGAATGCAGCCACCGCAATCAGTTTGGTCGCTGCACCTCGCATGGCTGTTGTAGCAGAAGACGACGAAAGAGAAGACCTCTCGCGATGAAGGGGCCCAAGCACTTTCGATCGGAACCTCGACCTCATGGCGCGAGGCTCCATTTTCAAAGATGCAGATCCGGGAAAGCATCTGCAACAAAGGTCACCCTCCTTTTTGCTATCTGCTTGGCGTTGGTAACGTGATCTAGATGCAAAGAAGAAACTCCGCGGAATTGCGGCAGCCGCCTACGTGCATACCGACGAATGCAGAACGGATTGACCTGGTATGCAGCCAACAAAAATAAAAGAACGGATGCACTCAAAACACAGTACATCCGAGCAAAAAAATTGACGAGAGTGGGATTCGAACCCACGCCCTTTCGGACTGCGGTACCAGTCGATGAAAACCTTAACACAGCGCCTTAGACCGCTCGGCCATCTCGCCTATAGCCAATTCTGGCTACTTGTGCATATATATAGTGTTGCGTAAAAGCCCGAAATTATGTCTTCTGATCACTCTCAAACTTTGTCCTGAGCTTTTGCGACATTTTCAAAATGCAGGGGGGAGGGCGGCGACAAAACACCTCCTGTCTTTGTTTCCGGCGCTCCGAGCCTGTCCATCTCCACCTATACGGTCAGACCCAGGAAACGCTCAGGGCGGAAGAGGATGAAGGCGTCTTGCAGCTCCACAGTTTGTCAACTCTATCGCACGTCAACTAGTGCGCTTGGGCATGCTTGATGAGTGATTCGATCGGGATTCTGCTATACGTAGTCGTGGACCAGATGATCCTCAATTCCGTCGAGGGGTTCGAATATTGCAACTATTCGTTCGATAGTTCAATAGCGAGTTGCAGCAAGCGAGTTCAGCGACGCGGGATCGGGCGGGTCACAAAACTGGTCACGAAAAGAACACGAGCAAACGCAAACGTTATATGACCTACCGTTTCGCTCGCGGATTGAGCATGACATACATGTTCACAGTTCTAGCAAGCAATGGCATGAAGTTGAAGCAAACAAGACACTCACGATGACGGAAAGCATGATTGAACAGACTCAAGCTGCCTGTCGCTCAGTGTAATCAATCACCTTCGCTCCCCATCCGGGGACGCGGAAACGCGAATTTAGCCTGCTTTCGAGCTGCGCAGGCTTGAGTCGGATCGCAGGCGTCTGATAGATGCACCTTGATCGCGCAATCGACAAGGCATTGTGAGCGTCTTGATTAACACGTTGAGCAGGGGGAAACGGGATTTATGAGCTATGCGTTATACCACAGCATAGCATTACCCACCAATGGATGTGCAAGTTCCAGCGAGCTCTCAAAGCATAGTTCGACGTGACGTCGAATGAATCTGTCTTCAGGAGTTCGAGCTGGACCATGTGCTTCTGTACTGAAAGCAGCAGATGTTCGAGACCTAGCTCTCAAGATGAAAGTACATGAGAATGTCTCTCGCATGTATTTCCAAGACAGGAGGTGCCGACTTCGGGCGACTCGGAGGTCGTCTGAGCGGTGCGAGCGCCGTTTCTGTCGTCGATCGCGACGCCGAGACACTTCTCCCACTTGAAGTTCGGCTGCTGTGGGCTCTATACGGCTCGCCATGTCGACGCGGTTCTGCTATAGCTGCGAAGAGGACCGACTGGTCGACACTGATGGCGCTCAAACGGTCTGCACGGCATGTGGCATGGTGAGTCGCGACTTGGGCCATTTCAGCCTGAGCTGCGAGGCGCTGTACACTGAACTTGTGCCGTCGTTGGGTGGCTGTCGCTGATTCTCTTGCCCACGGCTGTTTTGGACGTGCCGTTGCACCGCTTGCACGCGTTTTGTTCGCCTACCAGGTCCTCGAGGATAATGCTATAGTGTCTGAAATCACTTTCGGCGAAGCTGGATCAGGCGCAGCGGTAGTGCAAGGCTCGTACATTGGCGCCGATCAGAGTCAGTCGGCATCTGCTACGCGTGGAAGGCCAGAATACACGTTGCTGACAATGTGGCACCACTTTGTCCCGCCCACTAGCCCGTGCCAGAGCGCCGGCAGGCTACAGGGGTCGAGGAGGCGGTCAGGAGTCACGTGAGCAGACACTCGCCAATGGCAAGTTGATCTCAATGTGCCCTCAGTCAGCGAACCTGTGCTAATGGTATGTCGCTTTCAGGACGCAACGAAATCAATAGGCTCGCGCACAGCTTACGCTTGCCTGAACGTTTGGCCGACGCCGGCTTGCGATACTTCAACTTGGCGGTCAACATGAACTTTACGAAAGGCAGGCGCACCACGTACGTCGTAGCGGCGTGTCTTTATTGCGCTTGCAGGATGGACAAGACGAGCCACATGCTCATAGATTTTTCGGACCCGCTAGCGGTGAAGTTTGCTGCTCGGACGTAAGCGATTCGCTCTCACTGACTCTCGTTCGACTTCAGATCAACGTCTTTGTTCTCGGATCCACCTACCTCAAGCTCGTACGCGAACTATCGCTGCAGCTTCCAGTCGTGGATCCGTCACTTTACATTTCGCGCTTCGCTTCCATGCTAGACTTTGGTGAGGAAACTCAAAAAGTGGCCCAAGACGCCGTTCGTCTGGTCGCTCGCATGGGTCGAGACTGGATGCACATCGGTCGACGACCAGCCGGCATCTGTGGCGCCTGTCTCTTGCTGGCTGCTCGCATGAACAACTTTCGTCGGTCCGTGGCAGAGATTGTTCAAGTCGTCAAGATTGCCGACCAGACGCTAAGAAAAAGGTTGAAAGAATTTCGAGAGACGCCAAGCAGTACATTGTCAGTAACGGCGTTTAGGACGCTGTGGTTAGACGAGACAGCGGATCCTCCAGCATTCACGAAGAATAAGAAGGCGAACGAAGAGCCAACCGGTTTGAGAAGGGTGCGCAAGGCTGCTGCTACTGGCGGAGACAAAAGCGTCGGTACTGGCCCAGAAAAGGATGCTGCTGCTGGCGAAGACCAGAGCCTTGCAGTGGATCTTGCTGTGCCGTCTTCCGATGCAGACCAGCAAGAGGACGCGGAGCATGGGGAAAGGCTGGACGACCTCAATGCTTTGGCCGATGCTGCCGAAGAGGCTGCCTCACGTCAATCAATGCCACCGCCGCCTGTGCCATCAGCAAAGTCTCTCGGCAAACGCAAGCGTGTCTCGCTGTTCAAAGCCGACGACAACGAACAGTCGGACCCGGAAGATACGGAACACGATGACGATGCGCAAGAGTCGGATGACGACGACGAGGCACATTTAGACGCACCTGCATTGGACGATGCCATTCGCGAGGAAATGAACGAGACGCTTGAAGGCGCAGATGGACAAGCATTGACCCACGAGCTGGACGAGGCGGATGCCAAGAGACAAGCCGAAGTATTGCAGAGGAATGCTCTGTACAACTCGCAGCCGCTCGACAGCTCCACTCGCTTGGACGACTTGGATGAGGAAGAGCTGGACGCTTTCATTCTCACACCGGAAGAGGTCGAGGCAAAAAGTCGTTTGTGGATGGAGTTTAACAAGGACTATCTCAAGCAGCTTGCAGGTCCGTGTCCGGACTCTTGAAGACGCGTGAACGTTTGACTGATCCGACAAAGTACAGATAAACAAACCGGACCGGATGGCGAGCTGAAACCAGTGACTGCGCGTCGCCCAGTGAGTACGAACGATCTGATGCGAGGTCAACGCACTGAACATGAATGTAAAATTCCCTGCAGCGCAAGAAAATCAAGCCGCGAGATTCGAGCACGCCTCAGGGCGTCTCCGCGGCTGATGCGACCAAGCAGCTCTTGACCAAGAAAAAGTTTTCCAAGAAAATCAACTATTCTGCGATCGAGGATCTATTTGGTCGAGATTCTGCAGCGTCTTCTGTCGCTGGCAGTGACGACGAGAACGAAGATCCTGCTCAAAGCAGGTCCCGCAGGAGTGCGAGCGTTTCCAGTCGAGCGTCGCAGAGAATCAATTACCCTACTCCGACATTCAGAGGTCGGTCACGAGCTCAGTCGCGAGCAAGCAGTATTGCTCCGTCGTTGCCGCCGACGCCGTCAATGAACTCGCGTCACTTGGGCGCTGACGAGTTTGAAGAACATGAAGAGCAAGAGGTCCCAGAATGGCGCAGAATGTTTGGCCGAGGCAACCAAGATGCAGAAGAAGAGACGTGGGATGAGTTGTGAATTGGGAATTGATAAGTTTCAGATTATGATAGGTTTTTTCGCGTTTCAAGGCTCTAGTTTCTTGCTTGTTGTCGTCATCATCGCCATTATTTGAAAAGTCTCTATGTACTTTGCATGACAATAACATTTGAAATTACAGTACCAACAGACAGTCTCAAGGATGCTTCAAGATACTCATTGCCTCTAAGAATGTTTGCTCCGTTTGCTCGCATTAGAACTCGCCGCACTTGGAGGTCGTTCGCCATCGATGCTCATGTCATCAGTTGTCGACCGTCGCTTGGCCGAGAATCGTTCTGCCGATTCGTTCAGGCGGTCGTCTCGAATGTCTGACTTTGGTACACTAGTTGCGCTCGACTGAGTTTGCTGCTGTTGCTGATGTTGTTGTTGTTGTTGCTGCATGACGGGCCATTGAAACACTTGTCGACCGTCATCACCATTCGTCATTGCAATCGCCGTATTCAATCCCGACATGCTCGAATAAGGCACTCCCGAAGCGTAAATGACATCATTCAGAAATCCGGAAGGTGAAGGCAACAAGTCTGTCGCGAATCGTGCCGACTGTTGATGCAAAGGATGGGCCGTTCGACTGCCGTCGTCGTCTTGCATCTGGCTCGTGCCCGTCGCATGCAGGGCAGGCGCTTGCCCATTTTGAGCGCCAGATTCGTCAGGAGGAATATTGACGCTCAATTTTGGTTTGTTGGCGTTGAGAGAGTCGCTCCGACTGGGCGGTTCACGTGAACGACCAGTGTTGGGGGTAGCAGCGGCTGACTGATCACTGTCATCTCGCGACACACTGTCAACATCTGGTGTGCCACGCTGGGAAGACGATTGAGGTGACGACGTCAACTGCCCTTGATGCTGAGCCAGGTGTGCCTGAGCTGAGTTCTGAGGGGGCGGCTGCTGCTGCTGCTGCTGCTGCTGCTGCTGTCCAAAGTACATGGAATGTGCCGGGGGCAAGTTTGGTAAGCCGGGAAAGAACGGTGCAGATGCCGGTGGAGGTTGTTGACTCTGCTGATACGCTTGCTGCAACATGCCAAAGTCGGGCACGCCTCCGAGCGGAGGCAACTGGTACGAAGAGGTGGCAATTGGTTGCATGTTACCGTTTGGTGCAGTACCAGCTGCCGCAGCTGCGGCTGCAGAGTACAAGTTTTGCATCGCCCACTGGGAAATGTTTTGAGGCTGCGCGCCAGGCTGAAGCCAGGGATTGACCATGGGCATTGTCGATGCGCGCTGAGGCATGCCTGGGAGAGCAGGCGGCAAACTATAGCCGTTTGTAGGCTGATTCGGCCATTGCCCCGGCTG